GGGACCCGCCTTTAAAACCAGGGAGAAAATGGGAGAAAAGGAAGAAAAAATCCCATTTTGGGGGCAGAGATGTGCATTTTTTGGCTTCTCATCCCTCCCAATAAAAAAAACACAGAAGAAATCCCCCCCAAACCAACTTCTCTGGGGTCTTTGGGTGCCGCCGGCCCATTCTCCGCTGCTCCATGGGCATCGTGGCCCCAATCCATTGGGTTTTTCCCAACCTTTTTATCCCTCCAGTGGAGAATTAATGAAGGAGAAGCGACTGCGGGGTTCGAATCAGCTGCCCAGGCGAAATCACACTCTTTTCCTTCCGATCACCTGTTGGCTTTTCCAAAAATCCTACCCCGATTCTGGACTTTCTACCTCTAAACGGCTCCTCGGCCGCCTTAACGCGTTGGCGTCGGGGTTTTAGGATACTCGACGCAAACGCTGCTATCGGCGCGGAGAGAAGAGTGGATTGCACGGAAGAAAAAAACACAAAAAACACCAAAATCCCCTCCCCGAGGGGGGAAGAGTATCAAATATTAAACAATCTTAATATTCAGAAGGCGATACTCACTTGAGATTGAAATCGGCCCAAATTGGTGTGTGCAGCAGAGACAAATATGGGACAAATCAGTTATAATAATCAAAAATCAGAACTAAAGTCATAAAAATAAGGAAAAAAATAAAAAGAAGAAGAAAAAAGAAGTAGGATGTAGAAGGGGGAAGAAACTCAACAGCTAAAGGGGGAAAAATCCCGCTCCGACGCCGAGGTCCTGGAGCAGCGAGGGAAGGCGGCGGCTTTCGGAGCGTGGAGCCACACGGTTCCTCAGCCCCACAGAGGGAATTGAGATCCACAAAAGCCAAAAAGCACCCCAAAAAAGGGCCGAAAGGTTGTTTTCCTGGTGGCAGGTGGGAATGCGTCCCCCAGCGATGGACTCCTGGGTTTACGCCACAAGCCGGGTCTTGGATGTATTTCTAAGGGTAACGTTTTCTGCTCGCTCCCGATATATCCAGAAATTGTTCGGATCTTGACTACATCAGCTAATCCAAGTGAAAACGCTGGAATAATCCCCAAAATGAAGGTCTGCGTTCCCTTCTCGGCTCCAGGAGGCGGCGGGAGCATCCAAGCCAGGCGGTTTGAATCCTCGATCACTTAGTGAAGGATCCGAGAGCAAGCATGGATATCGGAGATAAAATTCCAAGCCTTTGGCGCAGGCACAGGTCCACATTCAGCTGTCTTTGATCCAGCTATTGGCCGGGAAAAGCATGTCCCGGTTCCGGGAAAAGCAGAGCTTTGCCTCCCCCGGGCAAGGTTTTGCTTTAATCAGGGATTACGGCTTTTTTGCTTTTGTCCATAGTAGAAATTGGATCAAAACCAGGGAAGTTGGTGTCTGCTCAAAGCCTGGTCACGTCTCCTTCTCCAAAAGGATGAATGGAGTTGGGAAAACCAGTCTGTGGATGTGGGAATCTCCGCTTGGACATCCTGGGATGTCCTCTCCTCTGACACTGCCGCAGACCAAATCCTCCCAGTGTATTTTCTTGGGAAATGGATATTTTCTTGGGGAACAGATCAGAAGGTTGAAATGATGATGGAAAAAGCCTTTTTTTCCATCCCTCCTTTTCATGGCTCCAGGTCTGGCCGTGGGCAGGGAGGAGGCTCCGACTCTCCTGCCCTGGCATCGCTCTCTCCGAGGGGGCAGCTTTGCTTTATAGGGGGAAACCAAACACCACCCGGTGCATGCCGAGGGTCCTGATCCCAAAAAATCCACGAGCCCGGTGCCGCTTTTCGGCATCGGCGGCCATCGACGTGCTGGGCTGCAGCGGGCGGGCGGAAACCGAGAGGTTTCGCCCCAAATTACCCTACGAGGATGAGAACCGGGGCGCGGGTCTGGTCACCCCGCTCCCTGCGCCGAGGAGGGGACGTCTCGCACTCACCTGGGTCGGGCGCGACGCACTCGCACTTGTACATGGTCACGTAGTCGGGCTTGAAGTCCGAGTTGATGGGGTAGTACTTGAAGGCGCCGATCATCTTCTTGATGGCGTCGTAGATGAAGATGAAGCTGATGAGGGTGGAGAAGCCTTCCTCCGTGAAGCGCGTGATGTACTTGATGATGAAGCTGGCGTCGGTGGCCACCAGGATAAGGCACTGGAGGGCAGAGTGCAGGCCGATCCAGAGGCGGAACTCCATGTAGTCGATGCCGTTGCCTCTGGAAGGGGGCACAAGGAGAGGGTGGCCAGGTGAGGCTCTGGACAGCACTAGGTGCTCATGGACATTGCTGGGTGCTCCTGGACATCACCAGGTGCTCATGGACTTCACCAGGTGCCCCTGGACATTCCTGGGTGCTCGTGGGCATCATTGGGTGCCCCAGACATCACTGGGTATCCCAGGACATAGCTGGATCGTCATGGACATCACCAGGTGCCCCTGGACATCACTGGATGCCCCTGGACATCACTGGGTGCTCATGGACATCACTGAGTATCCCAGGACATAGCTGGATCCTCGTGGACATCACCGGCTACCCCTGGACGTGACTGGGTGCTCATGGACATCACCGGGTGCCCATGGACATCACTGAGTATCCCAGGACATAGCTGGATCTTCAGGGACATCTCTGGCTACCCCTGGACATCACTGGGGATCCCAGGATATAGCTGGATCCCCATGGACATCACCGGGTGCCCATGGACATCATTGGGTGCCCCTGGACAGCACTGGGTATCCCAGGACATAGCTGGATCTTCAGGGACATCACTGGCTGCCCCTGGACATCACTGGGTGCCCCTGGACATCACTGGGTATCCCAGGATATAGCTGGATCCCCATGGACATCACCGGGTAACCCTGGACATCACTGGGTGCCCCTGGACATCACCGGGTGCTCATGGACATCATTGGGTGCCCCTGGACATCATCGGGTGCCCCTGGACATCACTGGGAGCTCATGGGCATCACTGGTGCCCCAGGGCGTTGTTGGCCGCCCCCACCTGCTGAGGGCCACCTACTTGCTGAAGTCGAAGAGCAGCTTCTCGAAGATGAGGATGGGCCCGGTGCTGCTCAGGATGATGAGCGGCTGCCCGGCAAAGAGGCAGAACATGGAGCCCGCCATGGCGGTGCCGAGGAAGCTCTCCATGACGCCCTGCGGATGGACGAGACGGATAAAGGATCAGCGCTCAGGGAAGTGAGGAGACCCGAGGCTGGAGCTGTGGTGGACGCGGTGGGACCCATGGTCAACAAAAGGGTTACAGGGAAGCCCTCGGCAATGAGCTTTCCCAGCCCCACAGGTCTCCATCCACGGCTGCTCTTGCTTGGGGATGAATTTCCATCCCCAGCAAAGACTCCCGCTTCTCAGGGGAGGTAGGACCCACCGCAGGGGACCCCCACGCGCCAGGCCACCCGTCCCCTTCCGCTGGCTCCACCTGGTAGTTGTCGGTAGCGTCCCCGAGCAGCCCCCCGAACGTGATGGCGTTGGTGATGCAGCCCAGGTAAATGAAGAGGATGGCAGAGATGGACTGGATATGAAAACCCTCATAGAAATCGCTCGGGAACCAGGGCAGCTTCCTCTTGATGTCCAAGCAGAGACCCCCGCAGAACCTGTGGAGACGCCGGAGAGGAGGGCGGTCACCCGGGGTCTCAGAAGCCCCCGGTGCTTTTTGGGCGGCCGCGCTGCTCACCGGCCGGTCCACGCGAGCTCCTCCCCGATCTCGTGCACTTCCCCCCCCGCCCCCCCCCCCCCCCGCGCCGGGCGCCCGCCCCACCGGCCGTGCCGTTCATCTGCCCCGCTTCGCTCAGCGAGAACACGGATTTCCTGCGGGAGAGACGGTGGTGGCCTTGGTCTCCCACGCTGGGGACAAGTTTGGAGGTGCCACGAGCCAAGGTTGGGTGCGCTCCAAGCCAAGCGGCTGGTGCACAGCAAGAGGAGCACAAACGGAGCAGGGATTGGGGAAAAGCTCCGGAGAGGACACCCAGGGAGAAGGGGAAACCCATCACGCTCTCCACCATCTCCAAAACAGAGGGAAATTGGGCAAATAAATTCCTGGCAGGAAATCCAAGTGTCACCCTCGGGCACCCACCTCTTCTCAGCCGAGGGCACTTTCTTGGGCGGCTCTATCCGGATGGTGGGATCCCACTCGCCGGGCGGCAGGACGATGACTTCGTCCAGGAACTCGTCTACGCCGGCGATGAGGTCTTCCCTGTCGCGGGCTTTGTAGGCGACGTCGCTGAAGAGCTGGGAATGGAGAGCCAAGAGGCATCATCTGGGATGCACTCCCACACGGATGGCTTATTCATCCCGGCATTTCCCCGTAGGACAAATACTGGTGTTTTTCCTGGCAAGCTTTGAGCAAAGGGAGCTATTGGGGATGGAGGGGAGCAGCCAGGCAGGGTTTGCATCCACTCACATCGTCCACCATGAGGGTCGCGATGGCTCTGCCTATCTCGTTGTAGGACTTGGCTTTTCCCGTGGGGCCCAGGAGGATGAAGAGGAACCTGGGAAGAGCAAAGAGCTGCTGGCTGCAACCCGGAGCACATTGGGTGCAACCCTTGGCGTGTTGGATGCCACCCGGAGCGAAGCCACCCAACATCAGAGCCGGTGTCATGAGATGCGTTAGCGTTCCCGACCCCCTGAGCATCGTTTTGGGGCTCAGCGCTTGCTCTGCCGGCCTCACCTCGTGGGGACGGGCACCTCCGTCATCCCGCCCAGCATGGTGGCCTGGAGCAGGCGCACGAAGGCCACGAAGGGCTTGTCGAGGAAGTCCACCTCGCCCACCAGCACGTTGGAGGCCTCGGCGTCTTTGGGGATCTTCTTGATGAACTTGTTCTTCAGCTGGCGGAAAGACAAGGCCGGCAAGGGAGAAGTTTCTCCTGTCTGGCTCTTCCCTGTCCCGGGATATTTTTCATGGCTTGTTCCTCTACACCCTGAACTCAAAACCTCATTTATTTTTGCCCAGCCACATAGTGGCTGTCACCATGTGCCAAAACCTCTCACCCCAGGGGCTCAAACCTGACGTCCTCCCACGCGCCCGCGGGCGACGCGGCGGGAACAAAGCCGTGACAATCCCCAACACCAAATTTCCTCATTATTCCACCATTAAGCCCGAGATTAATTGAAATTACACGCCCCAGGGGGAGACCCAATGCAAACACCCGATGCTCAAAAGGCGCTTTGCTGGGGTCTAAACCAAAAGAACGCGCGGGGGGACCTCGCGCTCACGTTTTGGAGCTTATCCTGCCCTGTTCCTTCCTCCGGGCAGGAATAAATGACGGAGGAGGAAGGCGTGTGCGTGGATTTAGCCCCAGGACTCTTCTCCCCCGCGGCTCGTTCATTATTAGTCTCAATAAGTTCAATGCCAACCCGGGCCGGGTGTTATTCTAATCTATACGGCAGCGTGAGGGGAGGCATGTGAGCCAGGCAGCAAGCGCTCCCTAGTCTGCTAATCTTTTAAACCCAAATGGAAAAAAAAAATCATCATAATAAACCAGCTCTTCCCATTCAGCTCGGAATAAGCAAGAGCAGGAGTTAACGAGGGCTAAGCTGTGTGTAACACTTAAAAAGTCCCTTTGTAGTGGGCCTAATAGGGCGATTAAAAGCAGCATTCTTGGGTGCTGAATGCTCTGCATATTTGGGGATTAACCCTCTGCACCCTGTTGCTGGAGTCGGGTGTCCGGGTTTCCTCGCTGGGCACGCACCTAAGGGCAGCTCTTTCCAGCATGTTTCTTTTCCTACCACTAGGTTTCCAGGATGTTTTCCCTCTCCCAAGGATGCTGCCTCCAGATGCTTCCTGTGTATCCCTGATTCTGCTCGTGACTTGCTGGTCCCCGCTCCAGCCCAAATACCACCTCTAGGACCAGCACCAACGAGTTATCAAGGATCAACACAAGCCCCTGGATGATGAGGAACAGCATGGATTTTCCTTTCTGGAGACATTAGCCTGTAAACCCTCATGATTTTCCAAGGGGGAAACAAAACCAGGTCATTTCTGGGGCATCCAACCCACCCAGGCCGTGCACCTCAAACGGGGGCTCCAGGCGCTGCAAATGGCTTTGGAGCGATGAACGTAACAAACGCAGCGCGATTCCAACAGCAAACGCAGCCCAAATTGCCCCACCGCGGATTGCAACCCCATTTTCCAACCCCGCTGCCCCACGGAGCCGCCCCGGCTTACGCAGGCGGCCGTAGCTCGCGCTCTGCCGCATCCGCAGGTCCTCGTTGGAGCGGTGGAAGCTGGCGCCGGCCGCCGGGCTCCGCACGGGGCTGCGCGCTGCGGGAAAACGGGCATAAGAGGAGACACCAATTCCCAGCAAATCCCTGGAAACGCAGGGTTGGGAACGGCCGCCCCAGCGCCAGGAGCATCGCGGAGCCGATGCACCCGCAGTTTGTGTTTGCACCCGCTCTCATGTGCGTTTTTCTCCCCCTGCCAGTGGTTTTTCCGGTAGCAGGGAAGTGTTTTTCCTACCCTGGCCTTTGGCAGAGGTTATTTAGCAAAAGGCTGTGCCAGGCCCAGCAACGCTCTGTTATTTAAATATAAAGCAAATTTCACGCCTAGCTTTTGACCCATGGGTTTCCTACATCAACCCCAGCATTTCTGCAGGAAACCTGAGCTCGCAGGGCTGTGTTTTCCATGGAAAAAAAGCCATCTTGACAGCTGAGCTGCTCTACATCTCTCCAACTCCCCTCCTTCCCTTTGCACGAAACCCTCTGGGAAAACAAGGACAGAATTCCCAGTGCTTTGACACAGGGATACTCATGGACATCCCTTTAGCTCAGTAGCTCGAGCATCTCTCGCTCGATCCCTGGATTCCACGTCCCCATTTGCAACCTCAAAGCGATGCCGTCATCTCCACGAGGCACCGAGGGAAAGATGCCCTCGATTTATTTCCGAAGGTCGATTAGATGATGAGCCGAGCTCCATTTTGAGAACTCCTGGGTAAATTCTAGCACAAAACCCTCCCTCCTCCGCCGGTTTGGAAATCCGGCCATGGGAATATCGCCCGGTGACGTCGGCCGGAGGGCTCCGGCGCCGCCGTTGGACCCGCTGCCGCCCGGCAAATCTGGGGCTCCACCGAATGACCTCCGCTTCAACCCAAATAATAATCCTCAAGCCCAGCAACCAAATCCCCTTTTATACGCCACAAAAGGAGCATGGCGCGGCGGCCGCGCCGGGAGGATTTGCTCGCAGACAGCTCCCGGTGACCCGGCGGCGGCCGAGTTTTGGGGTCTTTGCTCCGTGGGCAAACGCTGGGATTTCCCCTCCTCCCGCTCCGGGATGCTGCCCGGAGATGCCAGGATGCCCCGGGCACTCACTGGTGTTGGAGGAGACGGATTTGCCGATGTCGGCCAGGGAGCGGTGGATGGGCTTCTTGGTCTGGTGGCGGTGGCGCCGCAGCAGCACGTAGCTGAGCTTCTCCCGCAGCTCGGCCTTGAGCAGCCCGTCCTCGATCTGCTTCTCCACCACGTCGTCTGCGGGGGGAGAAGCGGCTAACGGGGCCCCCAAAACCGCCCCGCGGGCGGCGCGGGTCGATTCGGCACCCCAGGGTGCTGAAAGCCGCCCCGGGCTCCTACCGATGATCTGGGGCAAGGAGTAGCCGTCCAGGTCGAGCAGCACCGTGCCCGTCTGCAGGCACGTCCGCAGCTCGAAGAGGCTGTGCAGGGACAGCGTGGACACGTGGGGCTTGCTCCACCTCTCGCCTCCCTCTTCCACCTTCTCCTCAAACTTTATCCACCTGCGGGAAGGAGCAGACGGCTCGGGCCGGATCCGCACGCGCCGCCGCGTTGCCAACCCGGATTAGCTCTGCTCGGGCTTCGCCTTGGGCTTGTTTCGCACCTGGAAAGAAGCCCTTCTCCCTCTAGCCCTTATTTTGAAAACCAAATGTGTGATGGAGAACATCTGGGAAGAGGCCAGCGGCACGGATTTTGGGAAGCGAGCCGCTTTTCCTTTAAGGGAAGCTTGCAGGCTCCGCGGATTAGCCTTCCCCAGGGCTTAACCTGGCAACTTTTAACTGGTACGACCTGGATTTGGGCTCCTGCGGGCACAGACGGAGGAAACACTGGGCGGAGGGAGCTGGGATTATACAGGTTACTGTATAACCTGTATGTATAAACTGTATGTTGCGGGCTGGGCGTCCCCTCTCCCAGCCGGGAGATGAAGGATGTGAACACTGGGACAACCAAAACCTGCTGGAAAGCCCTATAAAAATCCCAGGAAACCTCATGCAGGGACAAAAATCAAAGCGTCCTGCAGGACAGATTGGGGCCCCAGCATCGTCTGGGACCGCGGCGCCTGCGCCACGACGATGACTCTGAAGGTTCCTGCCTGGATTTCTTTGGCTAAAACCATTTACTTTCTGCTCGGTGACGTTTCCCCTCGGGCTGCCAAGGGGTTTATTGGCAGGTAGAGCTAGTGCCACCAAGGAGCTGCTCTCCCACAGCCAAAGAGGACGAGGGGGAGCGGAAATCTGGGAATCAAGAAACCTCCAGCCAAGTCCGTGGCCGAAATCCCCGTGCAAACCCCACGGGGGGGCATTTGGGCCACATCCCCGAAATGCTGATCCGAACATGGGATGAGGCTGGGAGAAGGAGCCTCACCTGGCCGCCTCCTTCCACTCCATGTCGTCGCCGTCGCGCTGCAGCGTGTCCATCTCCGTGAAGAGCGTGGGGTTGGGCAGCTCGTCCTCCTCGCCCAGGATGTAGCGCAGCCGCTCGGCCGCCGGCGACACTGCGGGGAGGAGGAGGGGACATTCGGGAAGCGCTCGGAGCAAAACCGGCACCCACGGAGCCGATCCCATCCCAGCAAGGACAAGGCAGAACCGGGTGATGTCTTGCTGGGACAACGCTTGGGGAGAAGACACAAGATCTTCACCCAGCGCCAGCTAAAAGACCTCAAGCATTTTTTCCTGGCATTTCCTTTTTCCTTTTGTGATCCATCTGCACGGGAAGAAGATAAAACGGATAAATCCCTTGGGAAGCAAGAACAATTTGGTGTTTCCAGTCTGGAGGGATCATAGAATCACAGAGTGCTGAAGGTTGGCAGGGACCTCTAGGGATCATCCAGTCCAACCCCTGCACACGCAGGGTCACCTAGAGCACGTGGCACAGGGCTGCGTCCAAGCGGGTTTGAAGATCTCCAGAGAAGGAGACTCCACAACCTCTCTGGGCAGCCTGTTCCAGGGCTCTGGCACCCTCACTGGGAAGAAATTTTTCCTTAAGTTCCTGTGGAACTTTTGGTGCTTCAGTTTGTGGCCATTTCCTCTAGTTTTGTTGGTGGCCACCACTGAAAAGAGGCCAGCACCATCCTCCTCACGGCCTCCAGATCTGTCCCACCTCACATAGAGAGATAAGAAGAAGGACAAAGAGGGACTTGCAAAGCGTGGGGTGAAAAAGGAGGACCCGAGAAAGGAGGTGCTGGAGGCAGCAACCTGCTGGGAGACCACAAGTGCACAGGGGAGGCCGGGAATGATGGATATTAGGCCTGCGTCAGGAATCACAGAAGGATGAAGGTTGGAAGAGACTTTTGCAGCTCATCCAGCCCAACCCCCTGCACCAGCGGGGTCACCTAGAGCAGTTGCACAGCGCCGTGTCCGGGCGGATTGGGATAGCTCCAGGAGGAGACTCCGTTGTCCTTATGTTTGGATGGACCCACTCGTGTTTCAGTTTGTGTCCGTTGCCCCTCGTCCTACAGCCGACCACCGTGACAAGAGTCTAGGCCTGGTCTCCTCACGCCCTCCCTTTGGATAGTTAAACACGTTGCTAAGTCCAGGCTTCTCCAGGCCCGGCTCCCTCAGCCTTTCCTCCTAGGAGAGATGCTCCCGGCCCTTCATCATCTCGGCAGCCCTTCACGCACCTCCACGTCCCTCTTGTCCTGGGGACCCAAGACGTCACTCCAGATGTGGCCCCACCAGGGCTGAGCACAGGGGCAAGATCCCCTCCATGGACCTCTTGCCAAGGCTCTTCCTAACATCCCCAAGCCACCACAGGCCTCGGTGGCCACCATGGCCGCCTTGGTGTCTCTCACCATGAATCACAACCCTCTGAGCTCCGCCGTTCCCAAGCCACCATCCGCTCATCCCGCCCGCGATTCCCGAGTTTCCCAAGAGGACGTTACGGGAGACAGTGCCAAAGAGCTTGCTGACATCAAGGTGGCCATGTCCACTGCTCTCCCCTCATGTCACCAGCCCGTCGCCCCATCGCAAAGGGCCACCAGGTTGGTCACCCCATGGCTGAGCCCACCTCCCCTCTGCCCGCTGGTTATTCCGTAAGAATTTAAGCAGCATATTAAGAATTTAACGTGTGGCGTATTTTCATTGAAACCTTGGCTGTTTCCTAAGACGGCAGGAAGATCCCAGATCCAAGGAGTCTTCTGCGGCAGCCGGGAACGTTGCCTTTTCCTACTGCCAAACCACCCGGCGCCAAATCCCACTGCCATAAAAAGCAGGATATCCGGAGCACATAGCTTGACCTGCTCAACCACCTAAGCCACAAGGACCACAGCTCTTACCGCACTTGGTGCCATTATTACTAATATTCCTCTTATTTAATAACTGGGCTCCGTGCCTGGAGGCCTTAAAGATGAAAAAAAAGAGGCATTGGGGTTTTTTTCCTCCATTTTTCCCTTTTTCTCCCCCAGTTTGAGGCACAAGCCGGGCCTCCCGCGGGCGCCTGGTTTTCCTGCCGGGCTCGCTGAGCCGGACAGAAGCGCCGGCTCCTAAACCAACAGCTCCGGACTCGAGCGAGCAGCCGGGCCGGGAGAATTCCTGGGATTTAGCCACCCGGAGGACCCTTTCGTGCCCAAGGGCAGCCCGGCCGTGCGGATACGACGGAGCTCTCGGGCCCTTCTTCTTCTCCTCCTGGAAACTTAATCCGGACCGGATTCCAGCCCGGAAAGCACCGGTTCTTCCCTGGGGACAACACACCGAGCAGCAGCGTTTTTCCAAGGAAGCACCAATGGATTTTGACACCAGTTTTAATGCTGCGGAAGCCCCCGTGACGGCTCCGCTGCCGCTTTCCCCCCGTTAAACCTCCAGCCCTTTAAGCCGGAGGGGATCCGAATGCAGCCCAGGACCTCCCGAGCTGCGGGATTAGCATTAATGCGAGTGATCGTATAGGATCATTATGCATAGAAAAGAGCTTACATTTCCATGGGCAATTGGGCAGAGCGGCGGCGCTTTGTGCGCCCACCTCCTCGAGGCGCGTCCCTTATCCGCCCGCCCGGGGCCGGATCGCCGGGAAAACCCAGCGCCTCGTCCCCACCGCTATAAATTTGGGGCCAGCTTTAAGGCTTGGTGTGCCCACATAAGCCAAAACGCTCCATTTTGGCCCCAAAAAGGGGGCTTTTATTCGGCCGAATAGGCCATTTCAGTGCGGCGGGCTCAAGCCGAGCCGCTTTCGCTAGGAAGGAGCAAAGCCGGAAAGAAAAATCAATAGAAAAAAAGGGGGAAAGAAAGAAAAAAGGAGGATTTCTCCCCGCTCCCACCATGAGAAAGCCGGCGGGACCCGCGTGCCCGACAGCCTCCTACCTGCCGGCGTCTCCAGCTTTTCCCCCATTTCTCCCCGGCGGAGCCGAGCGTTCGCCGCGCGCTGCAGGCCGGAAAAAAACCGCCCAAACCCCCCAAAAACTTTCCTGCTTTATCCACTGCAGCTTGCAAAACTCCCAGGCTTAAGGAGCAGATTACAGAGCCTCTAAAGCACTTTCCTCTCCCTCGGGCTGGCACGCCGCGGCCGTGCCAAATCGGACGAGGTGCGGAACAGAGGTGAGCGCTCCGGGCACGCGTGGCGGAAGGAGGGAGCGAGGAAGGGGAGGGAGGCAGAGGAAGGTGGGGAGACAGCGGGAGACCTTGAGCTGTTTGCTTTCATTTTTAGAGGGTTTTTCTTCCCCGAATCCCCCGGTTTTAGCCCCGCCGGCCTCAGGCTTTGCCCCCAGGGCTGCACGCGGTGGTTTTCCCTCGGGATAAACCTCCTGCTTGAGGAACGCCGGGAGTTAGGCCTTGGAATGGGAATTGCCGGGCACAAGCAAACACATCCCTGGCCCTTTCCGAGGAGACTCCCGGCGGATGCTTTTCCCGCGGGAGCTGCAGGTTGTCGGCACCGCAAGAAACACTCGCTGGGAGTTTTCCCGTGGAAAAATGGGAAAAAAAATCCCTTTTGCTCTGCAGGGAGAAGCAAGGGGCGCCCGTCGGCTGCTTTACGCCCCGGGCGGACGGGGTTTTGCTGTGCAAAATGTTAATCTGCGCTAAGGAGATTTAACGGAAGCGGCCGAAGGCTGGGATAAGAGCCTGCCGGGAACAAGGTGTGATGCCCGGAGGCGCATGCTCCCCGCCTGCAATTTGGGTGCCAAACGCCGCAATTTGGGTGCCAAACTCCGCAATATGGGTGCAAAATGCTGCAATTTGGGTGCCAAACTCTGCAATTTGGGTGCCAAACACTGCCATTTGGGTGCCAAACTCTGCAATTTGGGTGCCAAATGCCGCAATTTGGGTGCAAAATGCTGCAAGTTGTGTGCCAAACTCCACGATTTGGGTGCTGAATGCCGCAACTTGGGTGCAAAATCCTGCAATTTAGGTGCCAAACTCTGCGGTTTGGGTGCCGAATGCTGCAATTTGCATGCCAAGTGCCGCAATTTGGGTACAAAATACTGCAATTTGGGTGCCAAACTCTGCGATTTGTGTGCAAAATGCTGCAATTTGAGTGCCAAACTCCACGATTTGGGTGCTGAATGCCACAATTTGGATGCAAAATGCTGCAATTTGAGTGTCAAATGCCACAATTTGGGTGCCAAACTCCACAATTTGGGTGCCAAACTCCGCAATTTGGGTGCAAAATGCTGCAATTTGGGTGCCAAACTCTGCAATTTGGGTGCCGAATGCCACAATTTGAGCGCAAAATGCCACAATTTGGGTGCCAAACTCCGCAATTTGGGTGCAAAATACCGCAATTTGGGTGCCAAGCTCTGCAATTTGGGTGCCAAACTCTGCAATTTGAGTGCAAAATGCCACAATGTGGGTGCCAAATGCTGCAATTTGGGTGCCGAATGCCACAGTTTGGGTGCAAAATGCTGCACTTTGGGTACCAAACTCCGCAATTTGGGTGCCAAACTCCACAATTTAGGTGCCAAATGCCGCAATTTGGGTGCAAAATGCTGCAAGTTGTGTGCCAAACTCCACGATTTGGGTGCTGAATGCCGCAACTTGGGTGCAAAATCCTGCAATTTAGGTGCCAAACTCTGCGGTTTGGGTGCCGAATAGGCCGAGCGCGGCCGCGGCCGGGGCTTCGCTCACCTTCCTCATCCTCGTAGCGCCGCCGGGAGCCGCCGAGGCCCCGCTCGCTCATCACATCCTCGTCCTCCATGAGGCCGGGAGAGGCGCCGGCAGGGAGGGAAAACGACGGAAAAGCCGATTTGGACGGAAATCGCTTCTTTTTACGTCCCGAACGTAACAAAACTGGCGATATCCCGCACTATTCCCTACAACGCGCCGGCGAAGGGGATGGATCCCGGGATTGTGGCGTTTGCAATCGCTTCCCGCTGCCGGCTCCGGCTCTCTGGCTGCTAATTAGGCGCCTAACGAGCTGCCCCGCGGCCCTTGCCTTTCACACTCCACTGGGGCGGCAGGACGGGCGCCGCTGGCGGCGGCCCCGGTCGATGGCG